TGCTACTCCCTCTGTCCCAATTTATATGACTCACTTTCCTTTTTAGTCAGTCCCAAAAAGAATGACACATTTCTATTTTAAGTAACAATTTGCCTATGAAATGTCTTTTTTACCCTTAATGAAATGATTTACAACCACACAAATTTCTATCATTCATTTTGGACCACAAGTTTTAAAAGTCTTTCCATTTTTCTTAAAGTTTGTACCAAATCAAAGTACATCATATAAAATGGGACGGAGGGAGTACTTATTTTGATATTACATCTAAGGATATAAGATTAAATTATGATTAATATAAATATTACAATAAAAATATTCATGTCAATCATTATTTATATGGATCGTGTAAAATTTAAATTGGATAAGTAAAGTAAACGAATGAATACTTATCAATATTGTATTAACTAAGATAAAATGATATTTAATTTCTTTACAATTTTGAAAATGAACGATATTGATTGCAATGTCTAAATTCGGTTGACATATAAAAATCTTTAAAAAAAATTAATGGTTTCTCGTTTTAATTTATTTTTTTAAAAGAACATACAGAAAATCGATGTGATAATGTCTGTTAAAAGGTTTTGGGGTTCGTAAGAAATGATTTGAACGGTCGTTTTTAATATAAGTTGTCTTTTTGACAATCTTTTTTGATCTGTTGGCTTTGAAAAGAAGTGTTATTTTAACGTCGAAATCATTTAACATGAGACTCTTATCGAAAACCTAAATAACTAATTTATCACCTATTGAGTTAGCCTTTTTACACGCGTATATATATAAATATATATATATATATATATTAAAAATAATAAGCGCGATTGACAACATCATCATTTTTATAAGATGCAAGCCCTCCAAAACACAACATGTGAACCGCATTTTAAAAAAAACTCAATTTGCAAGGCAAGGGAACACCACCTCCAGTCCTAAGAAACTTCATAGCCCAAGGCGGAGCCAACTTGCAACCAGGGTTTATCTAAATATATTTTTGGCTAAAAATATATTATTTGTATGGTTAAAATTATTTCTTATGTACATATAGTAGCTGTGGAATCTTCTTCGACTAATTAATGTGTTCACTGCTTCAAATACTGAACCCTTAAATGAAAATCTGAACTTCGCTACTATCCAAGCCACCTACCACTAAAATTGCTAAAATTATTTTTGATAAATCCTCATCAAAATAATCCTTCAAAGAGCTAAATTACATGCTTGTTATTAAAAACTTCTTCAATATTTAAACTCGACATATAAAATGGTCAGATGTTTGAAGATTATTATCAATAAAATGGCTCATCAGGCCCGCAAAAAATTGAATTAAAAAAAACATATAAATATATGTGAAAATACTGAATAGCATATACATATTTTGGGATTAATTTCGGAAATAATATATTTTTGGAGAACCTTTGTGTTTATTTTTGTATATATTTATCTTGGAATTTAGTTGATTTCTGAAAAATGATTTGAGTTTTGAAAAAAGAAAAATCTCATTATGTCCTTTTAATTTAGGTGCGGCATGAAAGGTTTTGATCCTTTTGTTTCAGAAGAAATAGTCGCTCATCATATTATAGCAGAAATATTGAACATATTAGTGGGCCTATTTCATTGCAGTGTCGGTCCTCCATAATATCTAAAAAAAATCTTCTTCTTTTTTCGATAAAGGTTTTTGAATAACTTTTTTTTTTTGGTAGAAAGAGAAAAGATAGTAGTTTTTGAATAACTTTATTCTAACTCAAATGGGAATTTGGTACTATGCAAGCATCTTACAACTTTCAGAATTTGGTATATGATTTGATTCTTCCTATCCCAAAATTGAAGCAAATAATGTTTATAGTTTTCTTTTCCTAAATAAAATAAAGAAGAGCAGGAAATTCAAAAAATAAAATAAAATAAAAATAGAGAACATTAATTCTAGACATGAATGCATTTGGAATCTATGGAATTATGATGTATACTTCGATTTTATTACTAGTTTGTGAAAATAGAGATGTTTTTTGGTAGATTTTTGACTTAAATAAATCATATCAAAATGAACTATTAAAATAATTTTACTAGTGAAAAGAGAACAATAACGACAACAAATAATAATATTATAGAAAGAAAAGAGACGACAATTAATAATTGAAATTGAAGATTAAAATAGTAAAAGAATAATAATTATAATAATACTGGTAAGAAAAGTAGACAATATTCAACTACTTACCAACATTCTACTATCTTAATATTTAATTTTCATATTCACCTAATCACTTAGACTAAAATAATCGACAAATATATAATATAAGTATAATTAATGCCTAATAAATGTTGAATCACATATTCCATAATTTATGTATACTAATTAAGAAAAGTAAATAATAAATTAAATTTAATAAATTATTTGTCTAAAGATCCAGAAAGGAAAAAGAAAAGATTGGAATAATCATTTTCAAACCTTTTTCTTTTTCTTTAGCATCAACTAAATAATGGGAATTTTTCTCTATTTTATTTTTATTTTTTGAAAAAAAGTTAAAGCTCTTTTTTCAGATAGTGGCACTTCAATTATGTCACATCAAAATCATACTTTTACAGTTTTTCCAATAAAATCAATTTCATGATATAAAGTTATTTCAATGTCCAAAATCAATTTAATTTATTCTAAAATAGATCTCAGCCACAAAAATATGAATAGATTTTTTCATTCTTAAATCTTTTATATGCCTAGAAAATGACTAGCCAAAAGAAAAACAAATGCTCCTCCTCTATCAATTTATTTAGATTGATTTGAAGTATGAGGATCAAATGAATTAATATTTGACATAAATTCGAACAAAAAGAATTTCTTATATAATTATGTTTAGGTACTCTTTTTCTTTTAATATTAAGGCATATGAAATTAAATATACATTTAGATATTCTGAGATTTAAGATGATTGAATTTAATATTATTAAAATATTATAGTAAAATCTAAATACTATTCAAATAACTCATTTTTTCTAAATTTAAATGTATAAAACATAATCTTTATGAAAAAATTAATCTTAATTATATAAATAAATAATTATATGATAGTTAGTGATGGTGTAACCAAAGGTGGTGGTGGTAAAAATCGACTAGAGTGGTGAATAATGTTATCGGTATAAAATGATTAATGGCGGTGATAGTTGATAGCATCAATCAACTAATAACAATTATAATTATGTAATTAATATTGATAATGATAACGAAAAATTATAATTGGTGATATACAGTGATGGTTAACAATAGTAATTATCGATGATTGTTGTAACAATACAATAATATATCAATACATAATCATCTTCTTAAATTTGTTAGAATACTTTATTTAAATTAGAACTAAATAAAGTGTATTCCTACTAAATACTTTTAGTTCAATTTTTTTTTTTGTGTGTGATCTCGTTCGTCTATTAGATAGTTAAGTTGTCCACACAAAAAAATTCATTTCATTTAATTATATACATTCACTTCAATAAGTCATAAAATCTCAAAGCACATTCTATTTGAAATTAATGCGTATAATTAAAAAATATAACATATTTTACGAGTAAAATCTATGAATGTGTTTTTTTTTTTTCAAATTCTTGAAAATTTGAAAAACACCACCTAAACACAATTTTGTAAAGGGCAAAGGGTCAAAAATACCTCTCAACTTTGGTTTATTGTTTGACTTTAAACTCACCGTTAAAATGAAGTTAATTTTAACCCTCCCGTTACTAATTTCACCAAATATACCCCTCATTAGACGGAATCCCCAAAATTGACCCGATTTTTTTAAAAAAAAACCTTATTCCCTATTTTAACCCAATAACCCGACCCCATTTAGAATATCCTGGTTAACCCTATTTAACCCACCCAAATTTCCTTTACCCATTTACCGTAAAAACCCTAAACCCCAAATCCATAAAAAATGTAAATTTCAGCAGAGGCTTTACCTCCTCCCCTGGCACAAGTGCCTTTTTTTCTCAGCAGCTTCACGAGCTTTAACCTTCTTCCGCTTCTCAACCTTTTTCTGCTGCTTCAACTTAGCATGTACAGCTGCTCTTTTCTCCTTGTTCTTAATCATTGAAGGCCGCATGCTTTCTCTTCCCTCCTGCTTCTCTTTCACCCTTCTCTCTTTCATCTGCTTCTCTTCTTCGTCTTCCCTACCACCATATTCGCTCAAGTTTCGTTTTCTCCCCATAGAAAGTGTAGTGCAGAGGATCTCGGCGGCGGAGCTAATGGAGAAGAGCAAAAGGGAAGAAGGTTTTGTAGTGAAGCTAAACGGCGGCTTCTCTACGTTTTATGTTTAATAAGCACTTTTTTTTAATTAATGGGAAAATAATGTTAAATATTAGAAATTCATAAATTAGCTCAAGCACATTTTTTTTTAGACGAATAACTATTTTGTGACATTTTGGGAAAATAATATTAAATATTAGAAATTCGTAAATTAGCTCAAGCACATTTTGAGACGAATAACTATTTTGTGACATTTTCTAAGAAGAAAAATCAGAAGTGAACGAAAGATAGATGCAGGAAGAACAATGGAAAATTTGGAAGAAAATGAGATTATCTATTCAAAGAGAAAATGGGTAAATGGGTAAAGAAAATTTGGGATAATGGGTAAAATAGGATTAATCGGGTTATTCTAAATGGGGTCGGGTCATTGGGTCAAAATAGGGAATAAGGTTTTTTTTTATAAAATTTGGGTCAATTTTTTGGGATTCCATCTAATGAGGGGTATATTTGGTGAAATTAGTAACGAAAGGGATAAAATTAACTTCATTTTAACGGCGAGAATAAAGTCAAATAATAAACCAAAGTTGAGGGATATTTTTGACCCTTTGCCCTTTGGTAAACATAGAGAATTGGACATGTGAAAAATGCTCTCTGAAAAATGCTTTTAAGTAGGACACTATTATTGTACACTCCCCACAGACAGATAACACACTCATTTGTGAGTCATCTTCTTCAGAATTCTCTAGTGAGGTTGCTGTTTATCAATCATGGCTGTTGAAGTTTGTGTCAAGGCTGCTGTGGGTGCCCCTGATGTTCTTGGAGACTGTAATTTCTAACCCCCTTTGAGATATATGCATACCCTTTTGTGTGTGTTGTTTTTGTGGTAAATTTTCATGGGGTGGTCTGAATTTTTCTGAATTTGTGATGGTTTCTTGATTTTGAGGTGAGTTTAGATAAAGGGTATGTATAAAGACTGTAAATTTCTGGCTCACTAAGATTTATACCTTGTTTTTGCGTGTCTCTGTTGTTTTTGGGGCAAATTTTCATGGGTCGGTTTGGATTTTTCTGAATTTGCTTGATTTTGAGGTACATTTAGATAAAGGGTATCTATAGAGACTGTAAGTTTCTTGCTCATTAAGATTTATACCTTTGTTTTTGTGTCTCTGTTTTTGGGGCAAATTTTCATGAGTTGGTTTGAATTTTTCTGAGTTTGTGGTGGTTTCTTGATTTTAAGGTACATTTAGATAAAGGGTATTTACAAAGACAGTAAATTTCTTGCTCACTAAGATTTATACCTTTGTTTTTGTGTGTCTGTATGTTTTTTGGGTAAATTTTCATGGGTTGGTTTGGATTTTTCTGAGTTTGTGATGGTTTCTTGATTTTGAGGAACATTTAGCTAAAGGGTATCTATAAAGACTGTAAATTCCTTGCTCACTATGAGTTACACCTTTGCTTTTGTGTATCTGTGTTGTTTTTGGGGTAAATTTTCATGGGTTGGTTTGGAATTTTCTGAATTTGTGATGGATTCTTGATTTTGAGGTAAATTTAGCTAAAGGGTACTTCTAAAGACTATAAATTTCTCACTCTCAAAGATTTATATCTTTGTTTTTTGGGGAAAATTTCTATGTGGCTTTTTCTGAATTTGTGATGGTTTCTTGATTTTGAGGTACATTTAGCTAAAGGGTACTTCTAAAGATTGTAAATTTCTTGCTCACTGAGATTTATACCTTTGTTTTTGTGTGTGTGTTGTTTTTTGGGGCAAATTTTCATGGGTGGTTTGAATTTTTCTGAATTTGTGATGGTTTATTGATCTATGGTCCAATAAGTTTAAGGGTATTTCTGAGAATGTAATCTCTTACTCTCTAAGATTTATACCATTGTTTTAGTTTATGTGTGTGTGTGTTAGTTGTTAGTTTTGGGCATGTTTCATGGGTTTGGTTTCATTTTTTCTTAATTAGTGGTGGTTTATTTATTCTAAGGTCCATTTAGCCAAAGGGGTACTTCTGAGACTGTAATCTTCCTCTCTTAATACATATACCATTGTTTTAGTTTGTATGTTTGAGAGTGTTTTGCAATTTTTCATGGGTTTGGTTTCAATTTTTCTGAATTTTTGATGGTTTTGTGATATTAAGGTCCATTTAGCCAAAGGGTACTTCTGACATTGGAGGAAAAGAAAGTGACTTACAAGAAGCACTTGATCAATGTTAGTGACAAGCCCAAATGGTAAATCTGAAGAAAAAAGTACTTTCTTTTTGTCCCAAAGGTAACATTTTTTTCATTCCGAAACTGAAAATTTTGTTTTGGGGTTGTGATTTTAGGTTCTTGGAGGTGAACCCGGAAGGGAAAGTTCCCGTGATCAATTTTGGTGACAAATGGATCCCGGATTCTGATGTCATTGTTGGGATTATTGAAGAGAAATACCCAAATCCCTCTCTCATTGCTCCCCCTGAATTTGCCTCTGTGTATGTTTTCTTCCCTACTTTCTCCATGTGTTTAATAACTTTCTGTATTGGCCACATTTCTCTAGACCTCGACTAAGTGCACTGGATACCAGCCACCACCCACCAGCAACCTGGACAAGGACAGGTGGGAAGAAATCATCTAGTGTTTTTGTCTCTGCTGAGATTTAAACCTGTGACGTCATGGTTCTCAACCTACTTCATTGACCACTAGGCCACACCCTTGGGTGCTTAATTTCTCTGGATGTTTTATTGGCTGCATCTCGGTATTTGCTTTAGATTTTAGTGTTTTGGGTAATGAATATACTTATAAGTTGGAACTTCATGTTGTATGTAGCAAAAGTTATTAAAATAAAAGAAGCAAGATACATTTTTAACGCTTTCTTTGGCTTGAACTCCTTATAGAAATCAAAAGTGGAAGCGTTTTACAGAGTTGCTATTTCCAATTACTTTAACATGGCATTTTTCCTTCAAAATTCCGTGGAAAGGTTTCTTTGTTGTACTTCCCCAACCTTTTGTTCTTTATTCCTTGGAGGGAAGTGATTTGTGAATTCGTCTTAGGTTTCTGCAAGCTACATTTAAATGAAGTTTTGTGATAGTTCTCTTCACTTTTGTGGCTTGAGTTTCTTTAGATCAAGCAAAAACACTTTACTTCCTGTGTTCCAAATTGAATTCACATATTTTGATTTAATCTTATATCTCAAATGTCTTAGGTGAGATTTGGTTTAAAATTCTGAAGAAAATCTTTGTCTTTCTTGGCATTTGGTTGAAAACAGTTCTAATAACAATCTAAAGGTAGTTCTGCGGAAACTCTTTTTTGAACTTTTGCACCAAACACCACCTCTTGTATTTTAATCTTCCGTTGCTGAATACAACATTTCTCTTACTTGTTTGGAGAAGCAAAAAGGCTACCATTGTGCTTCATATGTTTCACCTTTAGATTCTCACCTCTTAATATGCAAGTCAAATTGGACATTCAATATAGAACATAGTAATTATTTAGTTTATCTATCCAGTGTTTCCTTTTAGATGAGTGTCTCTATAATGTGTTTGTATGATTCATCATGGTAATAAGCTAGCAGCTGTTGCAGTTTGATTTTTATTTTATTGATGTTGGCGGGTGGAATATCATCTGTAACTTGTTTGGGATTGCAGGGGCTCAAAATTATTTCCTACCTTCGTCTCGTTTCTGAAGAGCAAGGATTCTAGTGACGGTACTGAGCAGGCTCTCCTTGATGAACTAAAGGCTTTGGAAGAGCATCTCAAGGCTCATGTATGCTGTTTTACATTGAACTGTCTGATATGTTTAACTTAAAGTATGCGTCTCTCATTTTTACCATGATCTTAACTTCTATTGGCTCTGTGAATTTCATCAGGGACCATATGCCAATGGGCAGAATGTTTGTTCAGTTGATATGAGCTTGGCTCCAAAACTGTACCATCTCGAGGTGGCTCTTGGACACTTCAAGAAGTGGAGTGTGCCTGAAAGCTTGAGTCACGTGCGTAATTACATGAAGGTATGCACTCTGTTTCTCTCTGTGTCCTTGTGTGCATGCATGGTCGGTATCTGCTTTGTCTGTGGGTGTTGAGCACATTCTTTGTGCTGGAGTAGTTTGTTTATGTCTTATCGGTGTGTCTCTAAAATTCAAACTCTGATGATTAGAATTTAAAAGAATAACCACATTATATATATATAGTTGTCACAGTTATAATGATTCAAATTCATTTGATGGTTCGAACCTAATACTAGATGTGAGGATTTTCCATACCAAAAGTAGCTTTCGGCAGCTACCTTTTATATTTTTCTTCTTAAACTACTAGTATAATGTATGAATCAACTTGACTTTTCACTGTCCTTGCCTCATTAAACCTTCTCGCATAAAAGGACCGAGAAATGTAAATTTTTTGAGTATGGTATGGAACTTGACATTTGTTGATCAGTTGCTTCTTCATATGTTGATTTGTTGCTGCACTGGTGTCGGATTCTCCAAAAATACACTACTTTTGGAGGATCCACACACACCCAGAGGCATTTCTTTTATGAAGACAACCAAGTTTTTCATGTTTAGCTTCTGATGTTACAATTGCATATTCTTTCGGTTCTCTATGTCCATGCCTTTGCTTGTGCCAAAGATATCATATCTTCCAATTCTTTGAAACAACAGCAAAAGTGGCACAAAAGTTGACACCTTTATGTTCTCCTTCTACAGCTGCTCTTCGAGCGAGAGTCGTTCCAGAATACCAAGGCTGAAGAAAAGTACGTCATCGCAGGGTGGGCTCCAAAGGTTTAACGCATGAACTGACTCGAAACTGTAATCGTGTTGTGTCTCGGGTAGTTAGCAGTTCGATGGGTGCAGCATTATGAACGTGATCTATATAGTATGATCTAAATAAAAACGTTCATCGTTGGTCTGTGGATCGATCAATCCTTGTACTGTTTGTGTCTAATAAATGAGTTATGTTCTGAAACTTTTATTAGTTAATGTAAGGTGTTGGTTGTTGATCTTTTACTTCAGTTTTTGCTATACAGAATTGCTAGATAGATATAGTTAAAGTCTGCTGAAGGGATGTTATATTGACATTCCTTCATTTTATTTTAGAAATAATGGTAAAAAAACGCATCGGAACTATCACTTTATTGCAAATTTCACACATCAACTACTTAGTGATGGTTCGTTCAGGTAGAAAAAAGAAATAACTGATAGTTAAGGTGTGAAATTTGCAGAAAAGTATGAGTTTAGGCGTGTTTTTGATCGTTAAAAAGAGGGAGAAAAGAATAAAGGACATGCATAGTGTAGTGTGTAAAAAAGTTTCAAATTAGAGAAGCTTTTCCACTTGTTTAATAGTGTTCATGTCAGTTTGCACTCACCTCGAGTATTTTCTCGAGTCATCCTTTTCATTGATCGTTAAGCCCTACCTCGTTGATTAAAAAAAAAATTAATCTCTCGAGATAAGTGTGAAGTGAAAAAATTACCCCACCACCCCATTTGTGTCCCCTATCTTACCATGAGCTCTAAAGACGTTTTAACCAGAAAGAGACAAAAAATTCATCGCATTTACTATAAGTTATAATTACAATTTGGTTGAAAACAGTTCTTATAACAATCTAAAGGTAGTTCTGCGGAAACTCTTTTTCGAACTTTTAAACCAAACACCACCTCTTGTATTTTAATCTTCCATTACTGAATACCACATTTCTCTTACTTGTTTGGAGAAGCAAAAAGGTTACCATTGTGCTTCATATGTTTCACCTTTAGATTCTCATCTCTTAATATGCCAAGTCAAAATGGACATTCAGTATGGAACATAGTAATTATTTAGTTTATCTATCCAGTGTTTCCTTTTAGATGAGTGTCTCTATAATGTGTTTGTATGATTCATCATGGTAATAAGCTAGCATCTGTTGCAGTTTGATTTTTATTTTATTGATGTTGGCGGGTGGAATATCATCTGTAACTTGTTTGGGATTGCAGGGGCTCAAAATTATTTCCTACCTTCGTCTCGTTTCTGAAGAGCAAGGATTCTAGTGACGGTACTGAGCAGGCTCTCCTTGATGAACTAAAGGCTTTGGAAGAGCATCTCAAGGCTCATGTATGCTGTTTTACATTGAACTGTCTGATATGTTTAACTTAAAGTATGCGTCTCTCATTTTTACCATGATCTTAACTTCTATTGGCTCTGTGAATTTCATCAGGGACCATATGCCAATGGGCAGAATGTTTGTTCAGTTGATATGAGCTTGGCTCCAAAACTGTACCATCTCGAGGTGGCTCTTGGACACTTCAAGAAGTGGAGTGTGCCTGAAAGCTTGAGTCACGTGCGTAATTACATGAAGGTATGCACTCTGTTTCTCTCTGTGTCCTTGTGTGCGTGCATGGTCAGTATCTGCTTTGTCTGTGGGTGTTGAGCACATTCTTTGTGCTGGAGTAGTTTGTTTATGTCTTATCGGTGTGTCTCTAAAATTCAAACTCTGATGATTAGAATTTAAAAGAATAACCACATTATATATATATAGTTGTCACAGTTGTAATGATTCAAATTCATTTGATGGTTCGAACCTAATACTAGATGTGATGATTTTCCATACCAAAGGTAGCTTTCGGCAGCTACCTTTTATATTCTTCTTCTTAAACTACTAGTATATTGTATGAATCAACTTGACTTTTCACTGTCCTTGCCTCATTAAATCTTCTCGCATAAAAGGACCGAGAAATGTAAATTTTTTGAGTATGGTATGGAACTTGACATTTGTTGATCAGTTGCTTCTTCATATGTTGATTTGTTGCTGCACTGGTGTCGGATTCTCCAAAAATACACTACATTTAGAGGATCCACACACACCCAGAGGCATTTCTTTTATGAAGACAACCAAGTTTTTCATGTTTAGCTTCTGATGTTACGATTGCATATTCTTTCGGTTCCCTATGTCCATGCCTTTGCTTGTGCCAAAGATATCATATCTTCCAATTCTTTGAAACAACAGCAAAAGTGGCACAAAAGTTGACGCCTTTATGTTCTCCTTCTACAGCTGCTCTTCGAGCGAGAGTCGTTCCAGAAAACCAAGGCTGAAGAAAAGTATGTCATCGCAGGGTGGGCTCCAAAGGTTTAACGCATGAACTGACTCGAAACTGTAATCGTGTTTTGTCTCGGGTAGTTAGCAGTTCGATGGGTGCAGCATTATGAACGTGATCTATATAGTATGATCTAAATAAAAACGTTCATCGTTGGTCTGTGGATTGATCAATCCTTGTACTGTTTGTGTCTAATAAACGAGTAATGTTCTGAAACTTTTATTAGTTAATGTAAGGTGTTGGTTGTTGATCTTTTGCTTCAGTTTTTGCCATACAGAATTGCCAGAAGGGATGTTATATTGACACTCCTTTATTTTATTTTAGAAATAATGGTAAAAAAACACATCGGAACAATCACTTTTTTGCAATTTTCACACATCAACTACTTAGATAGTGATAGTTTTTTCAGGTAGAAAAAAGAAACAACTGATAGTTAAGGTGTGAAATTTGCAAAAAAGTATTGAGTTTAGGTGTGTTTTTGATCGTTAAAAAGAGGGAGAAAAGAATAAAGGGCATGCATAGTGTAGTGTGTAGAAAAGTTTCAAATTAGAGAAGCTTTTCCACTTGTTTAATAGTGTTCATGTCAGTTTGCACTCACCTCGAGTATTTTCTCGAGTCATCCTTTTCATTGATCGTTAAGCTACACCTCGTTGATTAAAAAAAAATTAATCTCTCAAGATAAGTGTGAAGTGAAAAAATTACCCCACCACCCCATTTGGGTCCCCTATCTTACCATGAGCTCCAAAGACGTTTTAACCAGAAAAAGACAAAAAATTCATCACATTTACTATAAGTTATAATGACAATTTTACACCTTAATTCCAAACTAGTTGGTTAGACGATATGAATCATTATTGATCATATCGTTTCATTTAACTTTGCCAATAATAATCTTGGGTTAGGTTGGATTAGCCCTTAAGGTGAATGCAAGTAGTGAACATAGTTCTTTTGAAGCGTCTTAGTACGTAGTTATCAAAGAGTGGGAATAACGCAAGGACTTTTCCAAACCCGAATTTTCACAATACAGAATCACATTCACTATAAAGTTCATATTCCAAAAGGTGCATGATTAACAACAACAACATATTCAATGAAATTTCAGGTGAATATGGACCTTAATCTATCATGTGAAGGTAGAGAGGTTGTTTCCGAAGGAAAAGGTGCATGATTGAGATGTGAAAATGAACAAAGTAGCCCCCACTATGTTGACACTCCATTAGCTAAATAACAAGAAAATCACATGTCACATGAACTCTATGTTACAACAAAACAAGACAGCTAGAGGCCCAAATTCACTAGGCAACACCTCACAGAGGACACAAAAGATACCAACAGGGCCATGATTGAATTAGCATATATTAGTATAGTGAACATTTCAATAAGGTACCACATAGTACTATTGTCTAGCTATGTGCTAACACTCTCTAAAATGTTGTCGCATCCATGTCAGATCCTTGAAAGTTGTACTACTTTTAGAGGATTCAACACACACCTAATGACATTTTTTAGAGACATATAGTATTAGTACTTCAATTACCACTTGCCTTTTGAGCTTCGCACCATTTAACGAATATTAATGAATACAATAGGATTTATGGCTACACAAACTGTTGAAGTTTTTTAGGTCTATACACGACACATAGGCTCCTCGAACCATGACATACTTGCTTGTTTGAACATAATTTTTTTCAACGTTACAATCAACAACACGATTATTTGTTATTCCCTGTCTGATTTTTTAGTATGATCATGATCCAATAACAATTTCTGAATCATTGTACTTGCTTCTACCTCTGCCTCTACCTCTGCCTTTGCCTCTATTGCGCGATTTTTATTATGTGATTTAGCGTATGCCTCGAAGAACTCCCTGTTCTCTTTCTCTAACTCATTCCACACTGAAAAATACAAATAAGTATCACAATGATCTGTTAGGTATACAAGAAATGACATATTAGCAATGGTGTAGCTAAGATTGTCAGTTGAACATTCTTCATCGGAAAATAATATTGTGCATATTAGCAATCATCATTATGAGCAGTGAATAAGTTAATATTCATCTGTTAACTTTTAATATACTATCAGGTTATCGAGAAACACTATAACGTCTATAATAAGTGGGATTAGTAAGTTTTTAAAAGTAATGCTGGTTGCTTTGTTATAACAAGTTAAAATATATTAGAAAAATTGAACATTGTCGTTATATATAAGTTAAATTCGATGAAATATTACAACACTAACCAGTAACAGTGATGACAGATTTGATATTTGCATGCTTGGAAAGGGCCTCTATGCATTCCTCTTTAGTCATGTGAAAAATTAGACACTTTTCTATCAGATGCTGCACCTAACATCAAGGACAACTAGGTTAGTACATAATAAAAACAAAAAACAAGAAAATAATCCAAAAAGATAAGTTCCCAAATTTTCAAATACAAAATCAAGAATAAAGGTTGTCCCTTTGTTCGATGCACGAAGCGTTTCACGTTTATAAGAGGTCAAAAAATGGCCGCACCTTAAGAGGTTGTGATGTAGGAAGCCTATCTTAATATAACTATTAGTGACTAATTCCACAGCTCGAATCCGTGATCCACGACCTATAGGTCATAACTCACATGGTGACATGGAGACAATTTACTGTGCTCCAAGACTCCCTTTCAAATACAAAATCAAGAAAAAAGGACAGTCTGGTGGACGAAGCATCCTGCGTTCATGAAGGGTCAAGGATGGGTTGCACCCAAGGGTGTGTGAGTCTGGTGGACGAAGTATCCTACGTACATGAAGGGTCAAGGAAGGGTTGCACCCAAGGGTATGTGTTGTAGGCAACCTAACCTGATGCAACCATCGATAGCTAATTCCACAGCTTGAACTCATAAGTCATAACCTATATGTCATATAAAGACAACTTTATCGTTGCTTTACCATATATCACCCTTTCTAATATAGAATCAAAAGAAGGAAAACAAAAAAAGAACCCTTGCTAGTTCATTGAAGTATCATGATGAATAGGTGGATTTTTTCTATTCGTCCAAATTTTAGTTGACAGAGTTATTCGATACATATATGGATGGAAAATAGCAAATACTATATAAAATTAATCAAGATGCACGCAAACTAATCTAAACACCACGATTAGAAAAAAAATCAAAAATATGAATCTTTTAGTTACCATGTATATGTAAGAAGCAGGGGAATCCCCCATGATAAGTTTAGTATCTGATCTTCACAAAAAGCAAGTTGAAGAAAATATTATATGAGAGATCAAATGCACAAGAATTATATTATATTGTATGATATAATATTATGATAAAATATGAATTATATTATATAGTGTACCAAAAGAGAAATATAGTATTTTGTAGGGCCAAGAATCCCACGTGATAGATAAATGATAATTGGTGGAGAGAGGATTAGAGGAGATTTGTGAATGACCATTTTTTTGTCTTTATAGGATTATTTTCATAGCCAGCAGCCTCCACTTGATAATTTTGTCCATCTATAGACAAATAGTCCAAAAGTTGATACGTTCGATGTATTAAGCTTTGTTATGTGAAGTTCGCGTATTAGGGTAGAAAATTAGTAGAGGTGGGAGTGTTGTCTTGTCTTGTAAAGATTTAGGATTGTTAGTGTCTGTCGTAGTACTAGTCGTATCCTTGTAGTTCTAGTCATTATGTTGTTTATTATGGTTCGATTATTACACTATTTTACTGTTGTTGTTGTCTCTTTCTTGCAAACTTTACACTGTTTTTCTTATTAACGATTGTTTTATCCATTGTTTTCTTCTTTCTTTCCTTGGGTTTAATTTACTTGAGTCGAGGGTCTTTCAGAAACAGTCTCTCTACATCCCTGAGATAGTGATAATGTTTGCGTACACTATATCCTCCCCAAACCCACTTAGTGAAATTTCACTAGATATGTTGGTGTTGTTGTTGAATTTCGGAAAAAGATCAGACTATAAAGATTTATTATACACAACATTTTTACAAGAGATTGTTTCCACATATCAAACTCGTAATTAATTTTCTAATCACATAACAATAATATTATCAATTACGTAAAAATAAAAATGTGGCATTTAAATAATACAAAAATAAGACCGACAACATGCTACGAAGCCGGAAAATTAATGTGTATTACTTCTATCATTTTTAACTTCACATGAAATAAAGATGTCCAAATTGAGTTGTCAATGGGACAACTCCGTTCACGTGGGAACGGTACCTCCATCCTACTGAAGCAAGAGACATAGATTTGACACAGGGGCGGAGCTATAGCCAAATAAATTTAATTGCATCCGCTTGATTGAAAACTATATGAATAGGATGAAATAACTTTTTTGTTTTGTTGTTATAAATATATTTAACTGTGGAATTACTTTTGACACGAGAAGATTCTTCAACATGTTCATTTACTGTAATTTTATAGAATCGGGATATGGAGAAAGATAGAATGTATGCAAATTTTAGTATTTTGTCTTGTGGAGGTTAGAGAAACTGTTTCTGAAAGATCCTCGAATCAAATTATGCATATCAAAGCATATTTAAAACAAAAGTAATGAAGACATCGCAAACAATAGAGGATAAATTCCAAAACATACAGAAGAAACAATATCCACAATAAAATAAAACGATAACCGAATAAGCACTATAAAAATAAGTAGTAGCATAAATCGAGGGATCAAAAATTACAAGAATAGTGTTAATACTACTAGTATGCAAAGGAGAAACCTATCTCACTGGACAACAGATGATACTGAACTACCTGCTAACCTAATCCACAACCTTAATAACTTTTTATCTAAATTCATGTCTTTTAGTTAGTTGGAGGTGCATCATATTCTGTCTAATTAACTCTCAAATATGCTTTTTCGACCACATCTACTCCTCCTGAAGCTCACCACATCGATATAAACCTATCTCACTAGGCCACAAAATGATACTGAACTACCTACTAACCTATCATCCTAATCCACAATCTTATAATTTCTTATCTAAATTCATGTCTTTCATTAGTTGAAGGTGTATCATATTCTTATCTAATTAACCCTCAAAGAGGTTTTTTCGACCACATCTACTCCTCTTGAAGCTCACCACATCGGTCTAAGCCTATCTCACTTAGACAAAGATACGCATCATATTCCATCTTAATTAACTCATATGCTTTTTCGACCACATCTACTCCTCTTGAAGCTCACCACATCCCATCTTAATTAACTCATATGTTTTTTCAACCACATCTACTCCTCTTGAAGCTCACCACATCGGTCTAAACCTATCTCACTAGACAAGATACTATACTAACCTATCATCCTAATCCACAACCTCCCACATCGGTCTAAACCTATCTCACTAGACAAGATATTATACTATCCTAATCCACAACCTTAATGACTAAACCAACCTATCTTACTAGACAAGATACTATACTATCCTAATCCACAACCTTAATGACTAAACCAACCTATCTCACTAGAAAAGATACTATACTATCCTAATCCACAACCTTAATGACTAAACCAACCTATCTCACTAGACAAGATACTATAATAACCTATCATCCTAATCCACAACCTTAATGACTAAACCAACCTATCTCACTAGACTAGATACTATAATTAACCTTTCATCCTAATCCACAACCTTAATCCACAACCTTAATGACTTAGTTCATCATATTCTCTCTAATTAACTCGTACACTTTTTCGACCACATCTACTCTTGTTGAAGCTCACCACATCATTCTAAACCATATCCACAACCTTAATAACTTGGTGGTTCATATTTTAATATAGTATCAGTGAAATAAAATAAAAAGACTTAAGACTAGGTATTGGGGGTGGGTGTTGGGAGGCCCGCACAAGTGAGTTCTGCAAAGTAGGCAGCGTCAACACTTGGCCAGCCTATAACCCCTCCATAAATTCTTGCGCCAAATTAGACACCGAAGTGTTAATTGATAAGCGCTGCGGCCGGCTCTCACCGCCCGCTTTGTTTTCCTTACTCATTAGTTTAAGGCAATTTTATATCTTCATACTTTCTATTATTTATAATACTCAAATATCACTCATAATATTGCAACCTTCGATGTGGGATGGATAGTGAGTTGTAAATCTTAGTTAGTGAAAGCGAGTTAATCGGTTTTATTCTTATAGTTATTTCCTCGCTTTATTTTGGTTGTGTTTAACTATAAGTGATTTCAAGTAGTTATCTTTCGAAAATAACCATTCTACCCCCACAAAGATAGGAGGGGTAAAGTTTGTGTACATACCACTCTCCTAAGACCTCACTTGTGGGAAGGATCACACTAGGTATGTTGTTTGCTTTTGAGTAGTAGCGGAAATTTATCTTTCAAAAATAGTATTTTTACAATAACACTTCTAGTGTTTGATAAATAATTACGAGGTGTGGGGGTGGAGACGGATGGTGTGGAGGGTTTGGATGTTAGTTATGGTTTTTTTTTTCCTTACTTTCATCAAGGAAGTCACTTTCCTCGTATCATGAACTTGCTTTCCTAGAGAAATATTTTTTAAAACAAATTTGACTAACCAATCATGGAAAAATTGAAAAATATTTCCTCCATATCGAACACACTCCTACAATTGTACAATATTAAGGTTTGCAATGCAAATTGAAATGATATCAACAATATGCTTTTCTTTTATTTCCACTGTGATGTACAGAAAATTTGCACTGGCATCTGATTACAAACTTGGGAAGAATGCATATCAGCCAGGAAAAAGATACTAATAACATATGATAAATAACTCTCTCTCTCTCTCTCTCTCTCTGTTCAAATAGAAAGGTAAGCTAATTACAGTCAATCAATCAATCAAACCAAAGTCGGAAAAAAATCGAATACATTATATAACATACATACTGATACATCTTGGAAGCAGTCTCCATCATCATGTCTTTTTTGACAGGAGTGGCTCGAGTTGAGGATTGGTGTCCTTGGAAAGAAGAGATTCGTGGACACCAGATTCGAGTTCAGGTTGAAAAAAATCGTCTTTCCTTTGATTGAGTAGCCTCTGGAACAAGCTTGGTTTGTTTTCTGCCAGAGAGTCGTGTGCCTTTGGAAATTCAGTTAACCGCTGAACATGCTGAAGACAAACTTGCACTGCATCATGAACTCGGACAAAGTACCACTCCTTGCCAATCAGATCAATCACACCAGCTTTAGCTAGGGTCAGTAGCACTTCGCGGTTGGGATTGGAAATGGCTAGCTGCAATACAACACATGGTATCGTTAGGCTGGAAAGTAAGTTCTAGGATATAGAATTTGGGATGCATATTTGTACAGTCTTAGCAAAAGAGAGACATTCTCAACCTGAATGTCTCGCGATTTATATTCCTGATGGAGCTCTTTCAGAGCTTGAACAGCACTGGAGTCTATATACGTAACAGCTGGAATAGACACATGAAGTGTGTTTAGTATAATGAAACAAATGGCAGATAAGAGTATGCTCAACCCCTAAAGCATTATACTTTCCTTTCAGTTTCATATCAAATACCAGAAAATATTAGAAGAACTGTATGAGACAGAAGAAGCTTTAGCACTAGTAAAACATAGCAAAGGAAATAGGATTGGTAAATTCATCATATCATTTAGTCATTCAGGTTGTGCCAACTCATGGAGACTTACGGGCCATCTCAAGGATCACAAAATGAATTCTTGAAACTTCTGGTCCCCGACCTTTAGATTCCTCTTTTTCAATTTCATAATCCCGTAACCTGTGCAAGAAATAAAAGAGATTCACAGTGACATGTAGGATATAATTTGCTGAAAGCAATAGAACCTTAACAGTTTAGTCCATGCTTCAGAAATACTATATTCAAGGGAAAACTTGTTGTCCTTGTGGAAAAATAAAGAAAACGAAAAGACAGTGTTCTCACCTGTCCTTTATGTAACTTGTGTTGGCAAAGTATATAGGTGCATCAATTCGAACAATCACAATACCGTTATATGTATATGCTTCGGGGTATTGTTGAGTATTTCTGTAAATAGTAGTTCCAGGAAGACGCCCCAAGACAGCTGAAAGCAAGTCATGTCATAAGAAATTACATTAATTATAAGGCATTGACCTAAAGGAAAAAAATAACAGAACTTAGCACTGCCGTTTAAACATCAAGTACTTAATTATCTTGAAACTTTGCAGTAAACAACTAGGGGAAGAGAAATGCTTGTAAGGACTGAAGTGTCACCAAGAAAATGAAAAATTTGAAAGAGGGGTGAGAGAAGCATCCAGATAAAACATTATATTGACCTGAATATTTAGAGGACACGGAGAGGCACCAA